GAAGATGATACTGGAGAGTTGGGAGATGACAATGTCATAGAAACGGTAGAGCATCAATTGCCAGTTGCTGAAGATGAAGTAGGGCCAGAAAACCCATTCGAAATCTCTATCAATGCTTTACAGGGAATCACCGGGCATAATATTATTCGAATATAAGACAACATTGGCAATGAAACTTTGAACATATTGGTTGACAGTGGTAGCACTCACAGCTTTGTTACACCTGCTTGGGCTAAATAAGGCACAGAGCTGGTTCAAACTACACCATTGGCGATTACAGTAGCTAATGGAGAACGGTTGATAAGTATTTCCAAGAGTAATAATTTGACATGTTGTATGCAAGGTCACTATTTTGCCTATGACTTTCATGTATTGCCTATAGGAGGGAGTGATATGGTCCTCGGCGTTGATTGGATGACTCATTATAATCCAATCCTTATGGATTTTCGAAATAGGATGATGACCTTTAGTAAATAGGATAAGGATATCACATTGCATAGAGGAAACAGGACTGTTCCAATAAAAATGATTTTAGGTGAAAAATTACAAAAGCTCGCTGCTAAACAGCCTGATATTGTTGGCAAATATTATTGGTTGAGTGCTGAAAATTCTAATTTAGATACACCTCTAGTTGTACAGCCTCTTTTGCATGAGTTTCAGCAGTTTTCGATGAACCCCAAGGCTTACCTCCTGTGCGATCTCATGATCATGCCATAGTACTGAAACAGGATACTCCCCCTATTAATCTGAGGCCATAACATTTTTTGTATCAGCAGAAATCAGAGATTGAAAGACAAATCAAGGAATTATTGGCTGCTTCAGTGATACAAACAAACAAAAACTCGTTTTTTCATCTTGTTTATTGGTTAAGAAGGATTGAACTTGTTGATTTTGTGTTGATTATGGATAGTTAAATCAACGGACTGTCAAAAATAAATTTTTAATTCCGGTCGTCGACGACTTGTTTGATGAGCTGGTTGGGTCGACTTATTTCTTTAAAATAGATCTCCATTCTAGGTATTGGCAGATTCGAATCAAGGAAGAAGACATTCCCAAGACCATTTCGCACTCACCGTGGGCATTATGAGTTTAAGGTCATGCCATTTGGCCTAACAAATGCCCCCAGCGACTTTCCGAGCACTGATGAATGATCTGTTTGGTCCATTCCTTAGGAAGTTGTCTTGGTATTCTTCGATGACATTTTAATTTATAGTCCATCCTTGTCAGACCACTTGACTCATTTGAGAACTGTTTTAGAGATTTTGAAGAGAATTCAACTGTTTGCGAGAAGGAAGAAGTGTTTCTTTTCTCAACAACAAGCGGAGTACCTTGGCCATGTTATTTCTCCTTTTGGGGTAGCGACTGACCCTAGTAAAATTGAAGCCATGCGCAACTGGAAACAACCTAAGTCTCTCAAATACTTGCGTGGTTTTTTGGGCCTCACGGGTTACCACAGGAAGTTCATCAGAAATTATGGTGAAATAAGTCACCCACTTACAAACATGCTTAAAAAGAACGCCTTCAAGTGGTCCGAGGAAGCTATGACTACTTTTGAGAATATGAAATTGGCTATCTGTAGTGCCTCAGTACTAACACTTCTGGAAGTTAATAAACCCTTTTGTTTGGAGACTGACGCGAGTTTTCAAGGCTTTGGAGCTGTCCTATCTCAAGGTGGCAGTTCAGTTTCTTATCTTAGTAAAGCTTTGGGTTCACACCATGCTGATAAGAGCGTTTACGAAAAGGAATATTTGGCTATATAAATGGTTGTGACTAAATGACATCATTAACTTAAAGGTCGACCCTTTGTTATTAAGACGGATCACGAACCTCTTAAGCACTTGTTAGATACAAAACTTCTCGGGTTGGATTATACTATCCACTATAGAAAGGGCAAAACGAACTTGGTTGCTGATGCTCTTTCACGCATTTATGAAGATAATTTGGAGTTGAACCTACGTTCTGCTACTAGTTTTATTCCTACTTGGGTTGAGGAGATTGAGACTACTTATGTTGAAGATGAGTTAGCTAGGAAGATCATTACTGCTTTGACAGTAAAGAATGGTTCTATACCCGATTGGACGTTTGTGAAGGGTGTTTTGCGTTTTAAAGGAAAATTTTATATTGGGCCTGCTGAAAATTTGACACATGACTTGGTTGTAACTATGCACGACTCTCCTTTGGGTGAATATTCGGGGGGACATGCAACCTACCAACGCCTGCACTCTTATTTTTATTGGCCTGGACAGAAGGCTATAGTTTTGCTATGTGTCTGAAATTGTGATATATGTCAACATATTAAATCTAAACATGTTGCTAAGCCCGAGTTACTCCAACCATTGCCTATTCCATCTAACGCCTGGGAGATCATAGCCATTGACCTTATTGAAGGTTTGCCTACTTCTCTAAGGTTCAATTGTGTTTTGGTGGTCGTGTATAAGTTCACAAAATACAAGCACTTTATTTGTCTTGCTCATCCTTACATTGTATTCGAAGTAGTTAGAAAATATCTTGACAGTGTTTACAAGTTACATGGGCAGCCACAGGTGGTTATTTCTGATCGTGATAGGACTTTCACTAGCGTGTTTTGGAAGGAATTTATGAAGCAGCTTGGTATATCTACCCTATTCAGTACAACATACCACCCGGAAACGGATGGTCAAACTGAGAGGTGAATCAATGTTTAGAACAATATCTCAGGGCTTTGTGTTTTCTAAAGCCTAAAGATTGGGCAAAATGGCTGCCAGAGGTCGAATGGTGATATAACACAAATTTTCATACTGCTATTAGCATCACTCCGTTCGAAGCTTTGTATGGTTACAAAGCCCCATTATCAGCTCCTATTCAACAATCACCAGTTCAAGCAGTAAAAAAAGTAATGCAACAGAGGGAACAAATCAATCAAGTGCTTAAAGAAAATCTACTTAAGGCTCAGCATCATATGAAGTAAAATGCAGACAAGCAACACACAGATAGACAATTTCAAGTAGGAGATATGGTGTACCTCAAGCTCCAGCCATATCGTCAGACTTCCGTCGCCCTTCGCAAGAATTTGAAACTTTCTGCTTGATTTTTTGGGCCTTACGAAGTTATTGAAAATATTGGCTCAGTGGCATTTCGCTTACTGTTACCACCTTCTTCAAAGATTCACACGGTTTTTCACGTGAGTTTGCTTAAAAATAAAATCGGGGAGAAGAGTGTTACCTCGATTGATCCGCCCGAGGTCGGGACTGATGGTCAACTGAAGGTATACCCGGCGGCAGTGTTGGACAAACGAGTTATCAAGGGGCAAAATCGTGAAGTCACTCAATTATTGATTCACTGGTTCAATCTGGCGAAGGAACATGCTACGTGGGAAGACCTTTCTGTCTTGAAGTCGCAGTTCCCAGACTTTGATCCTTGGGGACAAGGATCCAGTGCAGGAGGGGGTATTTTCACGAGCTCAGATGTGAATTTAGGGTTTATGGAAGAGGAATTAGGGTTCGTGTTAGAGGCGGCAGAATTGAGGATTAGAATAATTCGGGATTTAGGTCAGTAGATAAGGAACGAAGAGGTTGAGGCTGATTTAATTGAGGAAGTTCAAAACGACAATGTATGGGTAATGAAGGACAACGTTGTTTCGAGAGATGCAGGAATGGGCTGGAAGGAAATCTATGAGAATGGAGGCTTGGGACTTAGGCCGGTTGAACCCACGAATCAGCAGGCTGGTGAAGGAGTGTCATACTCCAAATGTGAAAATGATTACCTGGGCCCACCAGCATAACGACAACTCTGTTAAAATACAACTGACAAAATCAACTTAGTACATTTGTATAGTATAAATAAAGAAATCTGTTAATGTACTAGGATATCTATGAATTTCAATGAGAATCTGAATTTCTTTTTACCCTTTCTTCTAAATCCCTAGTCTTTTTCTATTTCCAAATATTACAACCTTGATGACTCGACCAAGTGGCTTGAAATTATTTGTGGGATTCTCGACAAGAAAGAAAGCCAGAGCTTTTCCATTTGAAGTTTATAATAATGTAATATGAGAAGCTGAAGCTACATGAGAATATCAATGAGTCTGCTGTGGCTCCACCTCCATTGCAGCACAGGGGAAGTTCTTTATTGGCCATCATCGATCTTCGAACACAACTTAATCTAATCTATATGGACTATATCACAAGTAAGTTGTAATCTGGCCGCTGTTTGGTTTACCACTATATCACAGGTAAACTGTATCTATTTATAGATCTTATATCTATTTATAGATCTTATTGGGAGGTTTTGCTATGAGATACCTAAAATAAGGCTAATAAACGACGTGACTGATAAAAAAGTTATAGGTTAAAAGTGTTACCTACAATGTTATAAGTTGAAACCGAAAAAATTATCAGTCGGAGTAACATAACAGGTTGTATTAAAATGTTATACAGGGTAATAAAATGAGTTATAAACGGTAGATGTTATAAATACTAATAACATTTTAAGTTTAAAAGGTTACCAGAGTTTAAACTGATGAGACCTTAGATATTCCAACAATAAAAAAATAAATTAAAAGTTGAAAATGTTACGAATATATATAAGAAATATGGTTTCACTCAATAATGTCATAGTTCACTAAGAAATAGGTTGCAATTTGTAATGTTAATATTTTTATTAATAAAATAGGTTGCACCCAAGAATATCATAGTTCATTAAGAAAGCATTGTTGCAATATGAAATCTTAACATTTTTAATAATAAAATAGTTGAATCTAAAATGTTACCAAAGTTTAAATTGATGTAATCTTGAATTTTCCTACGATAAGAAAATAAGTTAAAAGCTGAAAATGTTATGAATATATATAAAAAATATGGTTGTGCTCAATAATATCATGATTCACTAAGAAATAGACTGCGATCTATAATGTTAATAATTTTATTAATAAAATATATTGCTCTCAAGAATGTTATGATTCACTAAGAAAATAGGTTGTGATATATAGTGTGATGTTAATATTTGAAAGATAAAAACGAGAATATTCGAACAACTAGCACCCAAAACTTATGATACAACAAAGGCAAACAAGTTAAATGTTGTGACAAAAAAAATGAATGATTACAATGCATTGGCTCAACAGTTAGAGTTACCTCATGCTGTTGGCTTGCTTAAGAGGCTCTATTCAATTCGTTAATGAAATATAATAGGGTTAGTAAACCAAAAATGGTAAATAAAAAGCAAACTCTGTTTCACGGGATCATTCGGTAGACTTCATTTGCAACATGACAAAAAACGGCCGATCAAGTTCGTTATGGAGTTTTTTCTTCTCAATTAGTTTAATTACACGTTAATAATCATGAATCATGGGGTTCTTGGGCCATCAATGTAATGCGATGCTTTCCGCTGTCTGAACGGAGGTTCTCTCCTTTAATTCCAAGCTGGAAAATAAAATTTATATGAATTTAGCAGTGGCAGTTGGACATGATCCTTCGCACGTATGAGACTAGTAATTACCTCGATCGAACTTTCTCTCTCGGGGGAGAACCACCGTAAGAGCACCCCAAGGTGAAGTATGGCAGGGATTAGCTTAAACAATAGAGGAGTTGTCACCTGAGGATATGGAGTTGAAACCATCAATATTTTACTATAAAAAGAACCAGCATTTTCGGATTTCTTTCTGTTGTTTTCGTAAGTTTGAATTTGTTATAGTCAATGAGAGTATACGAATCGAGCCAGGAATAAATTATACCAGGCTAAGTGCTGTTGTGCCAAGAAGTAGCAGGTACAGTTTACCCTGGAAAGCTCAAGGTTTCAGTTATGGAGAAGATCATAACGCCCACAAAGTATTAGCCATCTTCTCAAATCAACAGTACAATGAACTCGGATAGTAGCACTGACCTCAACGAGATGGATATTTGTAGCACGGCTGAGAAGAACGAAAGCGAATTCTCCTATCTGTGCCAGGGACATTCCAACCTGTACAAGTAAAAGAACTCGAGTTACTTAAAACTCCAAAGGCAATACATATCGGGCGTGCATCAAATATAGCTTACAAGCAGTGAAGTCTTGTTGTTGTATCCGAAACCCTTGACAACCAAAGCAATTATTATTGTTTTTACGGTGATAACCAGTATAACAGATGCAAGTAAGATATCAACATGGTTCCAGAGAAACTGAACATTGATCAGCATCCCTATGCTAGCCAGGAACAGTGCGGCGAAAAAATTCCGAATGGGTTCGATCTGCACACACAGACTAAATTCAATCGAGGGATGACTAGAAGGAAGAGCTGATAATAGCATCCAATATAAATGAATGCACTATCATTATATGACAGTTTGTAAAGCATAATCTTAACTTGTTCAAGTGTGTGTTGGGCAAGATCAGTTGTTGATATCATCAATCCAGCAGCAAATGAACCCAATTCTAAGCTCAGCCCCAGCTTGTCACTACACTGAAAATTAAACAATCAATTAACTATAAGTTCCAAAAAAATGTGCAGATATCTGACTGGCTTAATTTATTGCAACAATGTAAAAAACAAACTGATCAGAAACTGCAAGATTTCTTTCTATGTTTGTATACCTTAAACTAATGATTTTAGCAGTTGAGCATGTATCGTTATGTACTTCAACTCTCTGAATCTCAAGCAGATATCAAAACACGATTAATGCACCTCATTAATATTACATAGAAGCTTATATTTTTAGATCTGTAAGGCTGATCACCGGTATTTTAAAACCATAAGTTTAGGCTTCATCACAAACCCTGCTTGTCAGTTGTTCATGTGCCACTAAAAGAATGGACAGTGTATGGAAAATGGTATAATAGTAATTTCTTCACAGATAAAACAAACACAAGATTTGGAAGAAAGGGTGTGTAGATGTGGATATTGCATACAAAAATCCAGATGCTTAACAAAGTGAAAGTAAAAAGAAGACAAACCAAAAAGAAACGCAAAACATACCCAGGCCACAAGTAAGCAGAACGCCACAGATGCCAGTTGATAGAGTTCATCCGTCTGCACATATAACAAGTAATTAAACAAATCATAACAGATAACAAAGTGGAAAAAAAAATCAGTATGCAATTCTATCTGCAGATAACATATATACCTGTGATGAAAGGCTTATCATCAGTTTAAGCAACCAAGGCAGGCAAGTACGAGACAATATTGACAAAACAGCCAAAAAGGCAGCCAATGTGACCAACCTGGTTAATATAATATAGTGTTAACTGTTAAGACTTATCTCAATACTGAAAACACCATGAATAGAGAAAAATATATCACGGGAAAACAAGAAGTTATAGTCTTAATCCTAATCCAAAGCCAAGTGTCTATTCTTATACCATTACAAGCACAAAACATCAAAACAATAATTGTCTATGACTCCTGATCTGATCGAAGAAAAGTTAGTCTAAGTGGCTAATATTTGAATCTAAGGCTCTAAGCATGATCTATATTTCAAGTTTTAGGAAAAAATGCACACTAACAAATAGTGAGGAGCGGGAACCATGCCCTCACTTAAAAGCTAAGCCTAGTCCTTAGTCGCATATTTTCAACTTATGTGGCATCTAAAAAACATGAAGAGGAGTGCTATTTATCCAGTAATCCAGATCCAAATTGGAATATGATAGTTCTTCAAGTTTTCCTCGTACAATTTAGTCATGGACATTACTCCTTGAAGAATACCGGAAGTTCCAACAAGAACCGGAAGCAACGCAAATAGTAATCCCACAGCACAATCCTGCAAATTTAAAAACTGCTAAGGACACAGGGAATGATAAAAAGTACATGTCATTGACAAAATCTGTAAAGCAAAACAGAACTTAACAATGGAGTGAAGAATCAATACTTGCAGAATAAGTGTGCCAATGATGACTTGGCCGTGAAGCATATTGTTAGAATTCTTTTCCATCAAAAATTTAAGCACCTGCCATTGAAAAAGAGAAAAGCAACTTTAGAAACCGAAATATAGTAAACAAAGATAAAGATCTCTACAAGTACTGTGTGGGTGTCTAAACTCGTTTGATGTGCATAAATTTGTTTGCTCAATTAGTGAGGGAAAGTATGAATGTGCGTAGATTCTGTAAGCATCTCTAAAAGATTTCCACGAAATTTTACCACAGCTGTTGAAGACATTGAAAGGAATACACCAACAAATACACCCTCTGGAAGTCTACCGCCACATAACTGCAAACAGCACCCAATTAATACTGTGCGATTCAGAATTACAATTGTGGTATACAATGGTCCATAAGTATAAGAAAATTAAGAAAGATAACATGTTTGCATGAATCATGTACCTTAATCATTTTCAGATAATGCATATCGTTTTTTTCCCCAAAAAAAAAAAGGCAAACCCAAAATTGGATTTGAAGTCAAGAAACAGGAAAAAATTTGAACAACACAACAGCAAGAAGCCTCTTTATGACCCAGATATACAAGAAACCTCAATAACTAGATAAAAATTATGCAACCTCAGTGCACTCAGATTCAGGTGAAGGTGGTAACATCAATTAATAAAGATTAATGAAACTGAACCAACAGAGACTTTGTGTCAAAATTAATAGACATACTGAGGCTGTAATTCCACAGAGGCACATAAATAGAACTATCTGGAGTAGCCCACCTACGACGGCAACTGCTCGAACAACTCGAAGCTTAAAATAAAAAGGATGAAGTTAGAGAAATGATATGAAGATTGATGTAAAGAGTATGATACAAATAGAAAAGAAAAGATTCAGAGGCACAATGCAACCTTCGCAACAGAGAACTCCAGGCCCAATGCAAAAAGAAGAAAAATCACACCAAACTGAGCTACTGTTTCAACCTGCATGATTCAAATGAGAGAAAATAAATAAATTATTAAATCTTATAATAGATGAATAACCAACAAACATTTTCAAATGGAACAGCCTCTAATGGAATGAGATCACCCTGGCCATTCTCAAGAACACTACACAATTCAATTGCAGTTGCTAGCAACAGTATAACAGAGTCTAATCAGACCATAATATTACTTACTGGAACTTAAAACCTCGTCTATGTTTGCTTCTATTTATTGCCCTAGTTTGATAGAGGCACCAAACGACCGACTAACAATCGTAATGAAATATGCTCATATAAAATTAAAGAAATTAATGGGAAAAAAGACATAGACAGGTTTCACAAGAACAGACCAATAAGAGCAGTGGATTGTTTAGGGAGGCTTCAGATGAACTCTAAGAGAATCATAATAACTAATATTAAATAAGATGAAGAAATGCAATTTAAAAAAAAAAAAAACACTCCTTTTTCATAATAAAGGCTCCATGCAAGAGAGTGAATAATGGCATTATGATCAAGAAGCCATCACTCAACTCAGTTACAAAGGGTTTAATAAATAAGATGTCAGTGTTGATAGCAAAATTTTAATGAAATGTAAAACATACTTGCACCATTTCACCGACAAAGTTAAAACCTCCAGGTCCAATAAGAGATCCTGCCAACAAATATCCAGTAATCACCTGTAAAATATGTAACAATAAAATATATGGGAAATTAGAAATCCAAGGCACTCTGGAGGGACCAAAAACTCAAATCAAAGACTAAATAGGCTTATATCAATAAAATCAGACCGGTTGTCCAGCACAAGCAAATGCAATGCCACCACAAGTTGCAGATACGATGACAACTACCAAATCTGATATCAGTCTATGGACCATAAGCAAGAAAGTTTAAATCAGCTTATTAGTTAAATGTAAAAAAAAAAACAGCTGTGGTGAAACGAATATGATAAAACATTTACCTCAAGTCCAGTTGTAACACTGGATATTTTGATTTAAAATTAGATATGATGAAGACATTGTCCTGAAAATAAATCAACACCTCAGATTTCTAAGTACAAAAAAAATCTCAACATAAGTTTTAACCAATCTAACCTTTCGATCTATCAATGTCGGTGTATCTTCAGCTCTATTATCATTCTCTAGATTGAAAACGTCATGGAGTTGAAATGATCTAAAAGGAGGATGCAAAAGGTGTGAGGGAACTACTACATGTCTCAAGTAATTAAGAAGAAGATATGGTATAAAATTCCTTAAAAAAATTATCAAAATAGGAAATTAAGCTCTTCTATTAACAACTTATCAGAAATCAAAATCAACAAAATAAGTCTAATCATTGATGAGGAGAAGCACATACTTTTCCTCTTTCGTATCATTTTTCTTCGTCTTAACTCTAGCAACGGTTTCCAAAACAGCCTGATAAACAAACACATATGAAAGAGAGTAAGTAAGCAAGTTATCCGAGCTGAAAAGTTCTCAAAAGAATGAGTACTACCAACCTGCTGTTCCGCTACACTGTTGTTGAAACTTGCAGCATCGTCACTTACTGCAAATCGGGATGAATTTAGACTATATTCGACAATTATAATTTAATAAAAATTAGCAACTCTTTTCCCCAGAAGTTATGCAAATACACACTCACTAATTACCCTCTTATAGACCTACATTGACAATGATAACCTAAAAGTAGATCGAGCTCAAAAACCTTCGATAAGCAATAGAAATAGCAATAATTAATTGCTACAGTATATAAAGAACTAGCAAGTTTGAAGTAAACAGCAATACGTAAGCTGAACACTTTATTAGTGCGGATTTGAAATCTAATCCCTAATCTAAGCAAAATCAGCGGGGGAAAAAAAGGAAATGAACCTTCGTTTTTTTCGTTCTCATCGAACTCCTTCTCCAGAGCACGATCGATGATAGCAGCAAATGAACCTTCCATCGGTTTAGTTACCGAAGAAACATTTGAAAAGGTGCCGTTTCCGGCGTCTGCGTCTGCATCGAACCGATCCGACTCAGAGAGTTGTACTTGATGTTGTGCGAGTGAAAACGAAGCCAAACAAAAAGTGGCAACGAAGAAAAAGATTGTAATAAGCTCATAGGAGGAGTTTGATTTTCCCAACATCTGGAAACCACGAGCCGGCGAAGAGGTTAAGAACTTAACAGAGACCTCTCCTTTGTGCTGATAAATTATTGCAAATTGAGAAATTTAAGAGATTGAAATTGAAAACAGCAGGGAATTAAATTTAAGAGAGAAAGACGGAGTGCCGAAACGGAGTTGTGTAGCAGACGTAGAAGAGGTAAAAGAAAATGGGAAAGACCGGAAAAGAAACGGTAAACGGAAAGAGAATGGGTAAGTACAAAGCAACATAGAGTCTGGGGGTCAACTTGTCGTCATTAATTAAGGTAGCCCGTAATTAAAAGGGTAATCTACGTCAAATACTATTTATCTTTATGTTTGGGATCGAAAATGTTACTGACGTTTTAATTTTGTCAATTTTAACACGGACGTTTATGTTTCACTTCAATTTTATCACTCCGTCGTTAATCCATTAACGGCACGATGACATGGCGTGCCAATGCCGTGACAGCGATGACATGGACGGTTTTTTTAAAGTTATTTAGTCAACGTAACATCTGTATTACCTGAGAAAAGTTGGAGATTCGTCACTACAAAACTCCCATTTCTTCACCACCACAAAACTCTCCCTCACTCTGCCGTCCACAGTGCACGGTATCATCTGTTGCAAGAAGCTCGACAACCTCGCTGGCGATTCGCTCTCTGATGACGAAAATCTTATAGCGTACCTTCTTGTCTTCTTAATTTTCTTAGGTTTCTTCTTGCTTTTCCTCGTAGGCTTTGTTTCCAGTATAATTTTTAAGTTGGTGTTGAACATCTCTTAGGGGGAATCAGTAGAGAAGCTCCTCGAAGATGAAACAAGGGTTTTTGTTTCACTGTCGTTAATACCATAGTCTTCAAAGCTTCCGCTGGTAAAGAATCTGCTCTCGGCCGACGAGGTGTTCATCCGGGTTTTCGACGTCGTTTTCCTTTTTCTGCATCGTCGTTTTTTCTTTACCGTGTTGGGAGGCACTGGAGGTGGAGTTAAATCGTCATCGTTTTCAAAGGTATTGTAGAATTTGCGATAGGGGCATTTGTTATCGTCGTAAATTTTTGCTATAACATGACACATGTCTTCTTTTTCCTAGTGGAACTCCAATGTCGATGGCGGTGATGATTCAATACGGTCACTCTAGTGGAAAGTACCTAAGTAGCAACAGAGACCATCGGATTTGCCATGACCGAAGAGATCAGCGGCGAAAATAGCATAACCCCAAGTGGAAAAACTGATGCAAATCTTCTAGAAGAGCCAGCCGGTGTCGGAGCCGTAGCCGTGGGTCATGTAAACGGAGGCCTTCACTTTTTTATCCAAAGGGAGGAAGCTCTGAGTGAAGAGTTTGTCGTTGGGCGTCTCGAAGTAAGACTTAGTGTTACGAACGCCCTGCGACGTGTAATACTCTTCCTCTGACATATCTCCCCAGAAATTTGCTTCCATTTTTTAACGATGCTTGAAAAAAACTAATGATATTGCACCGTATAAGATGTTGTGACTGAGATCTAGAATTTGTAAGAACCTAATATTGTCGATGTTGTCTAGGATATTGTTCATCACCGAGAGCTCGACGAGAGATACTGGAAACGTTGATGGACATGGTCGGATACGTTGTTATCGCTAGCGTCGAGAAAGTAAAGCTTTCCGAGTGAACCCAGATCAAGAAACTCACCGGAAATGTAGTTTCGTTGGATTTCGAGTCGTTTGAAGCGTGTTAGGTTGTTAAAGCTTGAAGGAATTGGTCCATGGAGATGGTTGTTGTCAAGGTAGAGTTCTTTAAGGTGAGGGAGTGAGCCAAGAACATCGGGTATTTCAACGGTGACTGAGTTCCTGGAGAGACATAGTCGACCCAAACGTGTTAAATTGGAGAATGAGTCAGGAACTCAAGGCAAACCAGAGACGAGTGTATCACACCTGACGCCGCAAATGAAGTGGTCAGTGAAGATGTTGTCGCATGGGTCAATGGAGAAATCCCATGAGCTCTATCAAGATCCGAAGCAATGGAAGGAGGGTCTACACCATTTTTCAGATCTTTGAGAACTTGTACATCTGCTGGGTGTGTTCTTGAATTTACTAAAAGCAACAACTTTGAGAATATGGTGATGAAAACAAGAGAATGTAGATGGAGATAAGGGGTACTAGATATCGATGCCAGGGGTTAAGTAATAATTTTATTTGGGGTTCAAACATTATTAATTGGAGTTTTAAAATTTTAAAACTTTTATAGAAAACATAATAGAAAAATTTAATGTAGTTCAATGGTTAAGAATTCAATTTAATTTTAAGGTGTTTGGGGTTCAAATCCCTCTAGTTGCATAATATTTCAATAATTTTTTCAAGCAAAACGATGCCGTTTTGTCTTTATTGAGCATCAAAATAGTTGAATTGAAACGACGTCGTTTTGGTAAGGCATCCACGTCATCATTGTCACAGCCCGTCCATGCCATGTCATCATTCCGTTAGCGGATTAATGGTGGAGTAGCAAAATTGAAGTGAAACATAAACGTCCGTGCTAAAATTGGAAAAATTGAAACGTCAGTGGCATTTTCGATCCCGAGTATAAAGATGAGTGGTATTTGACATAGATTACCCTAATTAAAATGATAACCCCACACATTTTTTTTTTGAAAAGTAACTGCACCAGATTTATTAGAAAAATATCCCAAACGAGAGGTTCCCGAGATATTAAAACGTTCCGAGAAATTTATCGCGAGTGGTATTTGTTATATCTCGAATTTTCCAATACGCGAGGTATGTATTCCTTTTCGAATTAAATCTAAGCATTTTATTTTTATTGGATAGTATACGATAAAATAACATAAAAACTAGATCTTTATAAGTAGACAATACTAATTAAAATAAAAATTCAATATATATGTAAAATGTTACAAAACAAAATCGCTTCATAAGGTTCCAAAAACAAGAAGTATAACAAGTATATAGATTGTTATAGTCCATTTTTCAAACTTGATGGTATGAATTATGCGAACAATTGGTAGGACAATTTCAGGCTTCAATTTGTTCTGGAAAGGTAATGTTGTGACGACGCCATAACTTAAACGATAAAAACATATTCATCTCCGTTCGAATAACTTGTAAATTTATTTTCTTAGAATTCGAAGACCAGGAGCTCTCACGATTTGAAGTCTTTTATCCCTTAATTCACCCCCAAAACAAATTAGAATACGACCACATACATATATGGCATTGATATTACCTTGATCGACTGCTTTCTTCAAACAATGTAGACCAAACTCTGAATTTCTTTCATTAAAATAATTATACATGTCTTCTCTATATAAAGCTTCATGATTGTTAGCAGTAAGGCATCTTTCGTGAAATGTCTTCTCGGCTTGATTTCACGGCATGATGTGGAATTTTTTCATTAAAATGTTCTGAAAAATGTAATTATGATTTTGTAGCTTCATGAAAACTCTTGTAACTTAACTGTATGTTGACGAAATTGACGATAAAATTAAAAGCAACACGCACAAGAATTTTTTATAACACTTCTCTCGGGAATAATTCGACAATATTAAAACATATTTTCTTTGACATTTTGCTTTGAAATAGATTTAGGAAATTTTCAAAAGATGGGCTCGTATTTATAACAATCCTCACATACATCCTGAAGCTAGGTATTAATGGAACTTGCGTATCCTAAGATACGAGGTATGTTGAAAAGGTGCGACGCTTTAAATCAAATAATATCCAACATTTAAGAAAGGAACTCGAGTTACTTAGAATGCGAGATACATTGAATCTGACTTGAATAAAATCCAACATGACATAATTGACCTCACTAGTTGCAAAACGCGAGGTTATACTTCGTGAAATAATCGTATTATTATTTTAAAAAACCCTGTTAAATTAATTTGTAAAATTACGTTATTATTTTAAAAACCCTCAAGCTAAAATGGCTTGATAGACTTGTTCATTGAGTATTTTCGGGAAGTTAAATAAAACATTTGTGAAATATTTGAGCTTAGAGGCGTAGTATTGCAACTTATCTTTCAATTGAAACTGATATTGACACATATGAGAAATTGTAAGCGAAGTACAAATTTATGTAAATAACTTATAGTGGCTTAAACAACTCCAAAAAAAAATATCTCAAGTTGTGGATATGTACATTTTAATTTTAGCACATGGGACAAGTAGATGGTGCCTTCTATAATAAACATATACAACACATCAGAGAAACCCAAAGAGAAATTTCGTCTTAAACTTATGTTCTTCGTACAGTCAGTATAGAACGCAAAAAACAAAAGCTCAAAAGTGTTTCTCAAAGGGTGTTTTCTTAGAACTAATTGATGGAGCAAGAAGTTTCTCGAGAGGTCCAAACGAAAATCTAGATACCACCAGAAGATGATGCCTTGTTCTTGGTACCGTTGGTAAAAAAAATACAAATGAAAAAGCTTAGTAACATTTCGAGAAGTATGCAAAAGAAATCTAGACGTCACCAGAGGATGATGCCTTTTTTAAACTAGAAGTTTTCCAAGAAGGGATAAATCATTTATGAAGAAATATAAAGGTTTCACGGAAATGGTTAGGTTCGGTGGAATAAGAGTGTTGAAAACATTTTGATATTTCGATATAACAAATATATTTGTTAATGAATTTTAAGATTTTATATTCGATTTCAAATATAATATTCGATTTAATTATTCAAATATTACAAATATTACTCCAAGTTTTAAAATGTCATATTTTAGTCCTTACTTAAATGAAAAATTGAGTTTCACTCTTAAAATATTGTTGAAAACATTTTGATGTTTCGATATAACAAATTAAGTGTTATTGAAATTTTAAGATTTTATAATCATTTTTAAAGTATATTCGATTAAATTATTCGAATATCAAAATATTACTCCAAGTTTTTCAAAGGTCAATTTCAATCCTTACTAAAGTGTAAAATTGTGTTTTAAACTTAAAATATTTTCGAAACAATTTTTAAGAAGTATTTTGAGCCAAAAATCAATTTTATAAAGGGATGTACCGATGCACTATTGGATGTATCGATGCATACCCTAATTCGAATGCATTTTGTGTATTGATGCACAGCCATACATCGATGCACTCCAGATTTTATTGAAACATCGAATGCATTTTATGTACCGA